GTGACATGCACCAGGCATGTTACCATGTGTCAGGGTTCACCCACACAGTGACATGCACCAGGCGTGTTACCATGTGTCAGGACTCACCCACACGGTGACATGCACCAGGCGTGTTACCATCTGTCAGGGCTCACCCACACGGTGACATGCACCAGGCATGGGTGAAAAGCAAGGCTCCGGGAGCTGAGGGAACCCAGTTGAGATGTTTCAGCGAGAGGAGGCAATTCGGGAAAGCCTGGCTCCTCGGGGCGAGAACGTGGCAGCCGGCCGGCCGTGCCCCTTCCACAGAACGGTGGGCCAACAGCCTGTGGAAAGTATCCAACCACATCGTTAAAATCACACGGGAGCACAATTTTGCTGCAGAGGATCGCAGCAGGACATTGACGGAGAGCTGACAGAGGTTCGGGCCAGATTCAGAAGAGGACGTGGAACAAGGGAGAGCACTGTTGCTGTCAGATGGATCTTGGCTGAAAGCAGAGACTACCAGAAAGCTGTTTACTTGTGCTTCCTTGACTGCCGAGGCCTTCAGCTGGGTGAACCGCGCTAAACTGGGGTCATCTTGAGAAGAATGGGTGCGCACGACCACTTTATTGGGCTGGTGCGGAACCTGCACGTGCATCAAGGACCTGTGCGTGTGTGAACAGCACAAAGGAGACTCCACGGCTCCCAGCCAGCACAGGTGCGCCTCGTCAGCATCGCACCTTCTCACCACTCCCTCGGTCTGCGTGCTGAGCCAATAATTCCAGAAGCCGGACTCTACGGAGGACACAGCGTCAGGGCTCGGGGAAGGCTCGTGAACTAACAACCTGCAATATGCAAATGGCATCCCTTGGTGACTGGCGGGGAAGCGAACAAGTCGCAGAGGAAGTACATCCAGAATGTTCTTCGGAGGCAATGACGGAGCCTCTCCATCTTGTGGGGGGGGCATGTTATCAGAAGGGACCCATCCCCCGACAAGGACATCATGCTTGGCCCAAGGGGCCCATCGAGGAGAGACCTTGGCAATGACAGGGCAGCTGCCATAAAGGACAGTGCAGGACTGGGCAGTGCTGCTCTCTGCTGGACACATGGTCACTGTAAGTCGGATCCCACCCGACAGCACCCTCACAACAATGAGGAACCATCGGGCTTGCAGTTGCTTGTTTTTGTCGGCCACCCCAAACCCCGCCCCAGAAAAATGTCTCCACGGACACGGTTTAAAAAGAAAAGATCGGTGTAAAATCGAGACTGGTTTTGAGGGCTACATAGGAGTTCCGCAGGCAGACCCGCTCCCTGATGCGTGCCCTGCAGCATTAAGGGTTCCCAGCAGTTAGCTGCAGGGTGGCCACCTCCCAGGCGCCTGACCCCCCTGCCCCCATCTGCCCCCAGGCTTCCATTATGAGTGCACCGAGGAGCTGGACACGCAGGAGTTTGAGAAGGCCCTGGAGACCATCGCAGTGTCCTTCAGCAGTGTGTGAGTGGCCTGACGGCTAGCCGGGCTCGGGGAGTGCCCAGCGCGGCCATGTGACCCTGACCCCTCATCCACAGTGTGTCCGAGTTCCTCATGGGCGAAGTGGACACCAGCACATTCCTGTCGGTGCCCCTGGGGGACCCGAGCCAGGTGAGCAGGGGTGGGCAAGAGCCTGCTTCCCCGTGGGTCATGTCCTGCTGGTGGCCATCAAACCGGCCCACACACGGCTGCACTCACCTGCCTCCTCCCATGCAGGCCATGGAGCACCTGTACTGCCAGGGGGGGGAGGGCCCCCCTCCCAGCACTGAGGACTGCGACCAGGGTGAGCACGTGCAGGGCGGTGGACAGGGCTGAGGGCTGCGGGGCTTCGGTGAGCTGAGGGTGAGAGACTTGGAGGGGGGGCCTGAGGTTGAGGCAGGGAGTTTGGTGGGTGGCAGGGCCCAGGCTGAGCGGGGACCCCTGCAGGGTGCCCGGCCCCTGAGGAGGTGGACATGCTGCTGCAGCGTTGTGAGGGTGGGGTGGACGTGGCCCTGCAGTATGCCAAGAGCATGGCCAAGTACATGAAGGACGTGATCACCTACCTGGAGAAGCGCTCGGCACTGGGTAAGGGGTGGGTGGATAAGGCTGGGAGGGTCCTAGGGCCTCTCCACCCCTACGCTGCCCCACCCACCCCGTCCTGTCCACCCTGCTGCCCTGCCCCACACATCACCACATCCTCACCCACTTCACTGCCTCGCCCTCACGCATTGCCCCGCCCCTCATGCATTGCCCCGCCCCTCGCACACCCTGCATCCAGAGTTGGAGTTCTCCAAAGGGTTGCAGAAGCTGGTCCACCACTGTAGGCAGAGCATCACCCAGGAGGTGAGATGTGGGGGCGAGGTTGTCCTCAGGGCTGAGGGAGGAGGAGGCAGGGACGTCCCTGGTGACTGCCCCTTCCCTGCAGCCCCACATGCCCCTGCTGTCCATCTACTCGCTGGCGCTGGAGCAGGACCTCGAGCTGGGCCACTGCATGGTGCAAGCAGCAGGCACCCTGCAGGCACACACCTTCCTGCAGGTGGGCTGGGGCGCCGTGAAGGGAGGGGCCGGGATGCAGTAGTCCGCGGGCTCAGGCAGTGGGCAGGGCCGGAGGGTGGGTGGAACCACTGGTGGGCACGGAATTCTTTGGTGGGTGGGGCCCACGCACGGCCTTTCCCGCAGCCCCTGACCCAGAGGCGGCAGGAGCATGAAAGGCGCAGGAAGGAGATCAAGGAGGCTTGGCATCGTGCGCAGAGGAAGCTGGTACGCAAGACTCGCGGGGTTTCCTGGTTTGGGGGGCCACACTGGGACACTTGTGGGGAGCAGGTAGCAGTGGCAAGACTGGCCAGCCGCCACCGAGGTATACACTTAACTGACCGGTGCCCGTGGCCGATGACACCAGTTGCTGTGGGCTGTGCTGGTCAGGGCACCCGCAGAGTGGAGGCAGTCCAGGCTTAGGGAGTCAGTCTGGCCCCGCTGCCAGGTCCCCTGGTCATGGGGAGCGCTAGGCACCACCCCTCCACCTTTAGAGGTTGGGTATTAGTAACTGGTGGTGGGCAGGAGCTGGTGACCAGCAGTCACTGACTTAATAACAGCTGTCACTGAAGCTCAGGGTTCTGCCCAATCGTTCCTCCTCTGGGTCCCAGGTTTGGGCACGCTGGATGGGGTTGGGGAACCCTTGTGCTTTTTCTGGGTCCTCTCTATGCCTGAGCCCCTCACCGTGCAGCTGTGGGCTCTGGCGGATCACCCAGTTAGTCAGGCAAGCACAGCTCACCTGTGCTTGCTTACTCAGCTGCCGGGAGCATGTCCCCTCCACATCAGAGCTTCTGCCCCTCAGGTGGTCAGCTAGGGTCTTTCTCCAGCCTCCTTTTACACCTGGCCGGGCGGCCTGGTCAGTCACAGTCAGCAGAGGAGTCAGGCTCACTGCCGATGAGTGAGGAAGGCCATGCCCACCACCCGAGTTTCCCCTGCTTCTGGGGAGTCAACACCCCCCCCTCACACCGGGCCTCTGCTGCCCAGAGTGTCTGATTCAGGGCAGGCAGCCTGCTGTCCACTAAGGGGGAAGGTGAGGGGTGGGTGGAGGTGGGTCTGGTCACCAGGTCCCCCTGAGAGCCCCTCATGCTGGATCATGGGGTTAGGGTTAGGTTAGGTAAGGGTCATTGGAGAGCAGAGGGTGATGGACAATGTACCATGGATGGCATCTGCCTGGCTGGGGGGTACAAGGGTGGGGAGTCCATCCAGGACAGGCTCGACCTCGGCCCCCCAGCAAGACGCAGAGGCCAACCTGCGGAAAGCAAAGCAGGGCTACGTGCAGCGCTGCGAGGACCATGACAAGGCCCGTGTGCTGGTGGCCAAGGCCGAGGAGGAGCAGGCAGGTGGCGCGCCCGGGGTGGGCAGCGCTGGCTCCAAGAACCTGGACAAGCGTCGGCGACTGGAGGAGGAGGCCAAGAACAAGGTGAGAACCCAGCACGGCCAGCTGGCTGGTCTGCCTGGCAGAGCCCCAGGCGGGCAGCCACAGATACCCGCTGTCTGACCAGATAGATGCCTGCCTCCCCTGTGTGGACCTCAGGTCTGAAGCTGGGCTGGGCTGGCCGCTCCCGCAGAGGCCAGGCCACTGACCTGGGTGTCTGGAGAGGGCCACCCTCCTAAACAGTTAGGTCCCCTGGGCCCCAGCATGTCTTTTGGGGGTCCTCAGGCCTGCCTCTGTGCTGTCTGCTCTTACCCTCGTTCCCACTCATCCAGGTGGAAGCTGGGCTGCCTACAGCCCAGCCCTCCTGGGGGCTGCCACCTCAGCCCCACCCCACGTGCTCTCAGGAGGTCTGGCACGAGGGTCCTTTTTTGGGGTGTGGGTGAGGGGTGTTGCATACACAATGCTTCCTTTCCCGGTTGTGGCTGACTATGGCTTGTCGCCCCGTGCACCCGCAGGCGGAGGAGGCTATGGCTACGTACCGCACCTGCGTGGCCGACGCCAAGACGCAGAAGCAGGAGCTAGAGGACATCAAGGTGACCGCGCTGCGGCAGCTGCAGGACGTGGTGCGGCAGAGCGACCAGATCATAAAGTCGGTGGGTGCCTGGTGCTGGGGGTCCTCGTCTGACTCCGCCCATGACCGCACCAAGCCCCCAGTTCAGCTTGGGCTCAGACTTACCCCACCAGCCACGCCCACCACGCATAGCCCCGCCCCCACCACTAACCACGCCCCTCCCGCCCCCAGGTCACCATCTCCTACTACGAGCTGCTGCAGGCGCAAGCGGCGCCACTGCCCGTCAACTTCCACATGCTGTGTGAGAGCAGCAAGCTGTACGACCCCGGCCAGCAGTACGCCTCCCACGTGCGCCAGCTGCAGCGCGGCGATGAGCCCGACGTGCACTACGACTTCGAGCCGCACGTCTCGGCCAGCTCCTGGTACCTTGCACTTAGCTGGTCGGGGGCGCGCGCCCCTCCAAATGCAGGCCGTGGGCAGGGCCCTCGGACAGCTCCAAGACAGAGGCCTTCCTGGGCTCGCGGCCACGTCTGTCTTGTCCAGTCTGGCGTCGTCATGTGGCGTCTTCCCTCTAGGTCGCTCTGTCTGAGCCTCTCCTTGTAACCAGTCGTGGGTTAGGGTCCACCCTGGCTGCAAAGACCCCTTTTCCACACAACGTCACCTCCCCAGGTGCTGGGGCCGGACTCCAGCGTGTCTTTTTGGAAGAACGTGATTCTTGCCAAGGGGTGGGTGTGAGGCTGCCACACATTCACGGCCGCCCCCTTGGTGCACCCCAGGTCCCCTGTGATGCGGGCTCGCAAGGGCAGCTTCAATGTTGAGGTGGCGGGGAGAGAAGCTGGCAGCGCCCTGGAAGCAGGTGAACTGGAGGAGGGGGCGCTGGCCAAGGAGCGGCGTGGTAAGTGTGGGGCGGACTGGGGTTGGGGGGCGTGGCTGTGGGGGCGACCTACAATGACCCACCTACTCATGGAGACACGTTTACCCACAGGTGTGCGCAGTCACCAGGTGCACAAGTCCTGGCCCAGC